GAGGTGGGGGGGGGGGGGGGGGGGGGGGGGGATTTAAGGGGGTGGGAAGTTCACCTGAATTCCCTCGATAAAAAATCACACCTATATAAATAAGATAAACTTTTTTATGTACATACATAGATTTTTAATTCCTTGGCCAGTCACAAAACTAGAGGTATGGTAAGTGATTTATGGGGTTTACTATTCACCTTGAGGTTTCTAATTCTAATTCCAACAACTACATTTTCAATTTTTGAACTCCCTTTGGAAGAACTTGGATCTACTACTGGCACGTAATTCCCTTGAGCCCAACTATCGACCCGAGGTGACACTTGAAAAAATCATTAAAAAAACAAATGTAATTTTAAAAGGGCCTTCTTACAACCAAAAAAAAAAAATTCGAGCCTTGACGATCTAAGTAAAAGTTTTTTAGATTAGTTCCACTATTACATATTTGGTCGGTCAGTCAAGATACTTATTTTTACGAGCTAAATATACATAAAAGAAATACACTATTTTGTATCAAGAATGAATATTTTATGTATATCATACATTAATTAAAATAAATATATTTACAAGCTATTATTTTGATTGACAACTATACAATGTAATTCTATCCTAAAAATAAATAAATAAAAGAAATGAAATATATTGTTGAAAGAGCTCACCTTGGCAAATTTGAATGAAGTTTGTAAAGTGAGATTTGGGAAGGTCCTTGTTGAAAGTTGTGATTGCTTAAAGTTCTCATTATTTTGATAAGTCTCACCACTTAGACTTGTTTGGGACATTGTATTATCATAAATAGTTGGGGATGGAAGGTTCATAGAACTACATACAAGTCAACAACTAATTAATTATTCAATATATAATTAAGAGTTAATTACAATAAACACTCATATAATATTATTCAATTTCTTATATACCTCATAATGATTGTAAATGTATGATTTTCATAGTATAAGGGAGTGTAAGTATTTGATTTTAAAATAAAAAGGGTATATTCAAAATTTAATCATACTATAAGAATTAACCTTATAATTAGTTTAAAAAAAATATTTTATCCCTTAAAAATGATGGAAAAAATTAAGGTCCATACCTTTGAGAAATTGAAGATGTTTCTGAGGCAGTATAGAGAGGACTATTAATATTGTTGTTCTCATGATTATAATCTTCAAGCTCTAACCACAAGTCATAAGGGGGCTTCTCATGAACTTGTGTGTTGTCTATATGTTGAAGAAGTGCATTTATTTGCTTTGATAAACCACCAAAACAAAAACAAAAAATTATTTTGCAGAATCGCGATATATATAGGATCAACGACAGAATCAGGAATTCATAAGAGTTGATTTGAAATCCTTTTAACACGTCTAGTCAAAATACTAGAATTTTTTCTTATGTCGAGGTCCTCAAGGAGATTCAACAACTTATATACTATTAAAAATTAAACTCGTTTTTCTCTATTTGATTTTAAAAAAAATTCATACCTCCATATTATCTTCATAACTTGATGTATTATTGCTGGAGAGTTGTTCCTACAAAAAAAACAATTAAACATTTTTAAAAAATGAAAAAAAAATATTATAATTATTTGGGCAAAAAAGAACAAGTATACATCATACCATTCTTTGTCTAACTTGGTTTAATGCAACGTGAAGACGTTTTTCACACAAATCAAGCTCATGGAGTGATGTAATTCTTTGTGTATCTGGTTCAAATATTCTTTAAATAAAGTCAAAATGTGAGAAGAGAATGAATATTCAAAATATCATATTATAAAAAGAGGATTAAATCGAAATATAGTTGCTATACCAAAATTAGGTGTAAAAAACCAATCAAACTAACTTAATATTAATAAATTAGAACAAATACCAGAAAATGCAATTGCATAATAAGATCTCAATTGAACAGACAGAGTAAAACAAACTCGAATTAACGTAATATGAAATTATTAGGTCCACATACCTGATAAATAGAGGCGGAACTCGGATTTAAAGCTTATGAGTTCAAAATTTTAGTCCTTTTAAGTTACTAGTTTCTAAATTAATGATTTGTACATATTTCATGAATTCTTAAGATAAATCTGAATATTTAAACTAAAGTTACTGAATTCGACCGAACTCGTAATCTACCCGCTAGCTTAAATTAGAGTGAGCTATTTCTTTAATTACCTTAATAATCCCTCAGCCTCATCGAGTTTACAATGCAAGCCATTGATTTCATCTTGAATTTTCTAAAAACAAAAATGAAGAGAAAACAATTAATCTTAAGGTTGATAATATAAAAATTAAAAACTAAAAAAAAAAAACACAGAAAATGAATTAATTAAGCACCTTTGTTGTGTCATTTGCGTTGACGTATGCAGGATTTATCCTGATTAATTTTTTTTAAAAAGAATTATGATAAGTAATACATGAAAAAAATTATCTAAAAAAAATAAAATCCAATCAATTAGAGAAAACTAACCTTTCAATATCACAGAATTTATCTTCAATTTCAATCTTCCTTAGGTTCCAAAGTACAGACTGCATAAAGAGTGCATTAATGAAAATGATTTTTTAAATTCTTATTTTTAGGAATAATAATATTTTTGGTCCTTCGATTATGTAAATTTTAATTTTAATCTTTATGATATTTGGCTAATTTAACCTTTGATTACTTAAAATTAATTTGCACTTTTTATCCCTTTGTAAATATTCACAATTTTCTTTTGAATTACTAACTGTTTCATCGTATAATTACATATTACTCATATATTATGTTAAACGTATACTGTTATTCCATGTTTGAGGGCAATATCCTTTTTAAGAATAGTTAAAATATAACATACTTCCTACTTAAACAAACCAACAACGTAACATCACATTTAGATTAACTAAAAATTAAATATGTTAAATCATATATCACAAGAACCAAAATCAGAATTTACGAATAATTGAGAGACAATAATAAGTCAAGTAAAGCTCACCTCTTTATTCTTGATGTAGCTGCATTTGACAAAAGAAAGTATGTGTTAGATAGTTTAGTTAATTACAAAATACATAAAAGATGAAAAAACAAAAACTTAATTAGAAAAAGAAAAAAAAAGGAAAAAGGGAAAAAAGATATAATAAAACCAAGAAGAGAAAATAAAATTAAAAAAAAAAAAACTTACAATCCTCTTTCACTATCTGGGAGACTAATGAGCTCAGAAAGAATGTCTTCAATTCTGCATTAATAAAATTTAATCTTATTAGTCCCTCTAGAGGCAAATGTAATCAAATTTGACTTTAATTTTTATTTTTCTAAAGTTTATCAAAATTATAAATTCAATGATTCTATTTTGTTGGCTTAATAAAGATATATTAATGTACTAGTCGTATCATTATTACAATCATATTGGATAATATATTTATTTTTCGAATATTGTGTTATTTGTGTCAGGTCTTTTAAAAATGTAAATCATTACCTTCTTTTACGTGAATAATGTGTGAGACGACCAGAAGGAGAGAACATGATTATAGCAACATCTACATCGCATAAAACAGATAATTCATAAACTTTTTTGAGAATTCCATTTCTTCTCTTGCTAAATGTGACTTGTCTATTGGTCAAACTCTCAATCTTCAACAATGGCAACTTACTTCTTCCCATGTTTTTTTCTTCTTTTAAAAAAATCTTTCTATAATTTAGAAAGATATATATAAATAATATATATATGAATGTAATATAAAATCAATTAAAAGATGAAAGTTTCATTTTTCGTATTGATATGATCTAGCAACATAATTTGAACCTATTTCGCGTTCATGTTGTTGCTAGAAACAATCGATTTCATCCCATTAAAAATGTAACGTCGGGGAATCCACTCTTAATATATATGTATGTATATGATCAATGGAATATAAAGAAAAATATCAAGGAGGATTTTAGGGATGGAGAAAATGAATTTTGATGAGATTTTACATTTGTGTTTTTTAGGGTAATGAAAATATTGTTTCCAATGGTTTTAAAAGAGGAAAAGGAGAAGGAGAAAATTTGAGAAATTTAATTAGTGGTGGGGATTATTGATTTTGTCCTAAAAGAAAGGGGTAATAATGATCCAATAAAATTTACTTTGAATTTCTATATGTTTAAGGGTAATTTTGGATTTAATGTGTGACATAAATCTTAAATATTTTTGGTACAAAATGTATATCAACTGCGTCTCCCATGTAGGAGGCCTAGGATCGAATTGATTTTTCTCATGTGAGAGACCTGAGATTGAAATGATTTAGACTCCAACAATTGTGGGACTCATCGCCCTCTCCCTCGAGCGTAGTACTAAACATTTAGAGAGTAGACAATAGAAAATGGGCGGATAAACCATGGAATGGGTTGACTCTATATCCATGATCATAAAAATGGATTTTGTGGTTAACTCAATTTCAAAAATTGGTTCAAGAGGTGATGATACCCAAGACTATATAAAAAGACAAATAATTAAGTCCCAACAAATTAAATGTAGGACTCTCC